CCACCTTAAACGAAGTTAAAAATCGAAGACGAATGCATGGAGCATCCCTCAGGGATTGATCATCGCCGAGAGCTCTATCGTTTTATCCTCTTATTATAATAATTCACGCATTTATAGGCATAAAGCAGAGATTTGAAATTTTGTTATGCAACTGAACTAACGATTTCAACCGCGAATTGCTACTACTATTTAGAGGCTAGACCTATGAGCTTTTCCCACCCAAGGAGTCTGAAGATTTTGTGAGAACAAAAGTATACGACCAAATTTAATGAATATGAATCAAGAAAGTTGAAATTTAAGATATAAGACTCTCCTAACTCATTAATCTGAGACCTGAAAAGTGATTTCTATGAAAGATCATCTGGCTAAACACCGGATAAGAGAGGAACAACGGTTCAAGAGGTATACCTGTGCATTCACTTTCTTAGCCACTTCACCTTGAGTAATTAAGGCTCGATTCTCATTTGTCTTGAACTGGAGATCTTGAAAAGCCTGTAAACAATTTGCGAAACGGAGGGTAGAAGTCAAAGGAAGAAAAATTCGTACCTTTTTCAGCTCTTCGTCTGCCATAGTTCTCAGCAGAGTCAGTATTGCAACTAAATACGAAATCGGGACTGCAAAAAAATAGAAGAATAATCGTCGTGGTCAGGGAACGAACCACCGACCTCCACAACTTCACGCAGTACTCTTAGTCTTCTCCGCCGGCAACGGATCGAGGCATTAGTGGGAAAACACTTCCCAGTTCAGATCTGAATAATTCGCTATGCAGTGGAATTCAACAACCAGAAACTGCGTAGATACTTGTAGAGCGCTGAAGCACCACAGAAGGGATACCACGACCATGAAAGAATCAAGCATAAAGGATGAAGGATAGAGTATGAAGCTCTTGGCGCTGTTCAATCCTTGAAGGGATGCGCCATGCACTTAACCCCATCAAGCATTACTAGAGGTGACTGGATGAGAATCTTGGCCTTTACAATGACCCGCGGTGGCCTCCTGCTGTATCGAGTCAGTGCTGCTTATCCTCCCAAACAAGCCTGAGGCCACTCCGATATCAATTTACCGTCCCCGGAAGGATGGATGGCTTGGTGAGCCACGAGCGCGAGATCGAAACATTGACCTTGTGGGCGACGCAGTGCACCTCTAACCACTGCGTCACAAACGCCTATTGGAATCAAGTATGACTAATTTAAATTCTAGTTTTTCCTGAGTCCAAAAAAAATGTAAACAGCATCATTTCTGTACATCAAGAAAATATCAAGTAAATAAATAACGCAAATAGTAAGTAGTCCATCTAATGAACTGATCTACGATCCAATCTGAATGATTTGATCTGTGCAATCTGATCAACAATCTGATCTACTAAGTAGACTACTTTATTGATCCGTTTTCACAGTGATCTTTGATCTCTGTGCGAATCACAGTACTTCTAGCACTCAATTCGTTTGATCGTCTTCTTGAATGACTTAGAATACTGGTTGAGCGAGTCTCCTTGCAATCTCGAGGATAGCCTAGCTGTGGCGCGCCCACAGGACCTTGGTGTTGACTGCCGGAGAGGATTGGGGATGGAGCTGGGCTCCACGCGCGCCACGACGAACATCACAACCACTCGGCCACGGCGCCCTCCGTGAGTATACCATCCGATCTAATTCAGTAGATAAATAACCACTCTACTCTTCACTTTATTTGATCCGTATGACGATTTGATCCTACTGTGCGGGTCGCACTACTTCAGGCATTCTATTCGTCTCCTCGCTTGTTTGGAGGTTTATCTTCTTCAAGAACGTCGTAGAACAATCGTCAAGCCCATCTCCTAGCAATCTAGAGGATAGCTAGGCTCGGGACTTCCATAGGGCTTTCGTAACCGATTGCCAGCCAGACAGAGTTGGGGAGGGTAGAAGGGGAGAAGGAGGAGGGGGGGGGGGGAGGGGGCGACGGCGTGGGGATCAAACCCGTGTCGAGCATCACTAACCATTCGGCCAGAGCCCTCCACAAAACGAACCAATGATGAAAAACAATAAATAAGGAAAAGATAAATAAATAAGTAAGTAAACAACCAATGATTCTTGCCATTGAATGAACCTTATCGACAAAAAGAGACGGTCATACACCAGAGTCGAAATCGATGATGGAACCCACCGTACTCAAAAACGAAAGGCTATGATAGTCCACACAAACGTCTTGAACCCTGACTACCGTATCCTAGATGTGCAGGTGAATAGGCGGTTGGAATGGATCACTGCTCTCAGGACGATTCCTAATCTGCATCTTTTGCAGAAAAAGTGCAATATCGCGTCATCATCGGGCGAAAGTGCACGTTGGGTTCTCAGTGTAGTCGTCGTCCGTGCTACTGTACGGGAAACGTCGCCCTTTCATTCGGCTCCTCCTCTTCTTCTCCTTCTAGTTTGGATCAGTCGATCAATCGATCGCAGGAGCGACTCAGAGGTCTCCTTTAGCTCCAGGAATTCGCTGAGCATCATACCTTTATTTTGAAGCTTCTAGATCTCTCGTAGCAATTTCTTAAGGTAAAAATATCATGCATGTTGAGCACTCATTCTTATCGACTGTTCATCAGAAACCTCGTTAGAATTTTGAGTTCTAATCGGTTATGAGAGAGCAAATGAAATACCGACCTCACTCTCTCGTCGGCAATTCTTGATGGAAGTGCTAGTAGTCGTTGGAAAGCCGAAATTTCCGACTGCAGCCCCATGTCGCCGGTTTTTCAAAACATCCTTTTATCACGCTATAAAATCCACACGAAACTGCGTCTCGGACGTGCATGTCTCGCCGGACAGAGCTCTTTCTTTCGGCAGTTGATAATCATCCTGGAATCAGAAGCGATTACGCCATCGTATGGTTGCTGATAGTACAGACAAGGAACTTTGTTCGGCGCGAAATGGGCGCGTCTTTAGCGCAAGGAATCTCGTGCTGTAACAACGTCAAAAAAAAAAGCTTTTTCCAAAACCGGTAACGTGAGGCTGTAGCCTGAAGTCTCAGCTTTTGAATGGTTTCTAACACTCCTGTGAAAAGTTCCCCTATCCAGCGAATGAGGTCGGTTTTTCATCTGTTCCCTCACATCCTCATAACCGAATGGAATCGAGTCTTTCATTCATGTGAGCAACAAGAGATTTTTCTTTATTCAGTTGCTTTTTATCGGTGGTACGATGGTGCAGACATACGCAATGATGTTGTGCAATTTGCAAAACATTGACTCCAGGCGGGACCCAAACCCGCGTCTTACTCTATCCGAGAGCGCGTGGTCTAACCCGTTGCACTATCAGCGCATGCTTTGCCATCACTCTTTCTACGCTAGAATGTGAAAATCATACATATATATATATATACATATATATATATATATGTATGTTTAAATGTATAAGTACGTACATGTATATATGTATATGTACATACGCATGTATACGGATACGTGCATGTAATATGTGAATGTGTACGTATATACATATATATATATATATATACATATATGAATCCGAAATCATTTTATTTGACCGCCTATTGCGGTGTTGTGATGTTTCTATAAACCCAATGATGTAGAGCGGTGTGCAAAAACGTTTGCGTCAGCCGTGATTTGAACCCAGATCTTACTCTTTCCGGGAGCATGTGCTACACCGTTGCACCACCGACGCAAACGTTTTTGCACACCACTCTACATCGTTGGGTTTATACATATATAATTGCATATGTGTATATATATACATACATATATATATATACGTGCATATGTGTATACGTGTATATGCTGAGAATGTTTCTGTAGCCGTCCTTTTCGAGGTTTGGTCAGGTTATCCAAAGCAACACTTGGCAGACGCGCGTGTTTCGGCAACTTCGCCATCATCAGTAAGATTGTCGCGGCCACTCGCTCTCCGCCTTCCTGTAATAGGGAATGACCTCCACAGAACGACAAACTCTGATCGAGTGGAAATTCCGCTGTCCACCCTCTTCTTACAGTCGATGCCTTGCGGCTTGTGTTTTGAGAGGTTATCTTGTTAAGCGGCACGAGATCGGTCACAGGGGTAGAGGTGGTAGACCAGTTCGATGGCTGGCTTCTCAAAAACTGCTCCCTCTGTCAGAGGAGCCCGGACGATTTCATGCTGTGCTTCCGGATCACCGTCCATTTTGACGATTGGGCGATTTCCTGCCGTCGTAGATCACCAGGGAGATCAGCGCTCTGTGAAACGGCGGCAAAGCTGCAATGGAGCGCGTTTTCTGGGTGGTGTTCGAACTCATTAACCCGTATTGATTGATTGCTTGCTTGACGCGTAAGTGCGCCCTCTGCGCCCTCATTCAGCTGACTCTCACGGGCTTCCAAGTCTTTTTCTCTTTTCTACCCGAAAGTTTTACTGTAATTTGTTTATCTCTTCTTATGGACTCCTCTAGTGAGACAATTTGTGATGTGTTTGCTTATGATTAATGCTCAATTCAGATCGTTTCGCTTCGCAAGACTTCCTCGTTCTCTCTTGCTCGCTTGAGAAAGTTGTTTACGCCGGTTCTGTCTCATTAAAGTTAAAGATAATTCTTGATTTTTTTTCTTCAAGCCAAACACGAGGTGTTACATTAAATTGCATTTTTTGCATCGTAATTCGATGACATTTTTTCTAAAAGAAGTAATGGAGGTGCTTGGCTTATTGATTGCGGACAGTTTGACCTTTCCAGACGCTGAAGAAGGCGAACTCTCGAAACATCAGCTGTCAAATAAAGTTCAATGTAACACCTCGTGTTTGGCTTAAAAAAGAAAATGAGGGATTAAAGTTAAAGACTTTTCAAGATTTCTTATGTTTTCACTGCTTTTTCGCAGTGTTGTGATGGGTCAGATACTCCTAAGAAAGCTGTCTTTATTTGACCGCTTTCCGCATCGTTATGATATTACAGTACACCCATAGATGTAAAGTGGTGTTGCAAAAACATTTGCGTCAAGTGGGATGTGCTGACGCAAATGTTTTTTCACACTCTCAAGGGAATTGAGTGGTCAGCAAAAATTCGATCTCAGGCGGAAGTTGAACCCGTCGTGTTTCATCCATACTAGGGACGCGTGCTACCACTACACCACTGAGGCCACCGCTACTCGACTCGTCCAGTCATTTTCAGCGCTATCAGTCACCAACCACTTCAGGGTTTCTTTTTGTGCATATTTCGGTGACGTAGAGCTCATATCGAAGCGGTATTGAGGAGTTAGATTAGACTTGTAGATGAACTAAGCGTGAAAGAGTGAGATCTGGGTTCGAATCCCGGCTGACGCAAATGTTTTTTGCACAGCACTCCACATCAAGATCATACCACCGCAAGTGGCGGTCAGATAACAAGAATTCTGGGTGAACTAAGCCTTGACAGGTTTTCACTTGCTTTAGACATATTCAAATTTCAAAAGACTCGTATAGTTATCTAGTTTTATCTTGACTTACGGTTATTTATTGATCTATTGCTTTGTTCTTCCTTTGATTGCAAGAGAATTTGTCGGGGAAAGGAAGGGGGTTGAACTAAGGCCCAGCTTATCACCTTAGTTCCTGATACACCGCTTCACGAATCACTGCTATCCCGCTCCTTACGTAGTTGAAACATTTTGAAATTAGGAAGTCGGACAGTTTATATTTTGTATTCACTTTAGAACCCGAGGCCAAAATGTGTTTCTGTGTGAAGGAACTCGTATCTAGCACTCGGTGATCACAGGAACCATCTTTCAGGGCATATGGCAAATGCTTATCTATGTGACCAAAATCCAAGTCATTATCTGGCATTCAAGGGTCTGTGAACCGACTTGCTAGGGAGTATTCCAGTCAGGAAGGAGTATGCAACTTTTTATAGGCCTTTCTTGTATGACTAAGCTTGCAAGAGGATCGTGAACAAGCTTACTTCGGCTGTTTCGAAGTCATTGCCTTCTTCAGAGCCGACAATTCAAGTCAGCTGTCCACAGTCGTTCGCCCTCGTGGATCTTTGCCTTCATTGCCATTTGAGTCATGTCTTCTTCGCTCCAAAATGAAAGAGATGATTATAATGTTCTCTGTAGGAGTTGATGGATATAAAGTAGTTGGCTGATAATGGTGTAGACTAATGTCAGCAATTGTCGTTGCCCTTTGACCCTAACACGTAGATTACACAGTATCCGGTTTAACGGCTGTGACGGATGTCCTGCACTGAGTATCCTCGTTAGATTCTCATCGGTAACAGTTTCCCGTCGTGGGTAGTTTTGGGTTAGGGATAGTTTTCCGTTAGACGGCGACAAATATATTGGACCCTCTTCGCTTGACAAAAATCTCTCATAAGAGTGTCTGTAATCACTCGAAAGCTTAAATCTCTGAATAGTGCGGTATGTGGTCTTTTTCGAAAGAATCTTCATTGTAACTTTTCAACGAAAGGAAGACAATTTGTGTTTCACATATGCGTTTTTCTCGCACGACAGAGCTCTCTTCTTCATATGACTAGTAATCATTCGATAGCGTAAGATTTGAAGGTTTCCAACGCTGTGCTTATTCTTCTGGAAAAGCCATTTCTCTGCAGTGCAACAGGGAAAATAAAATTAAATTTACATACGCGATCAAGGAGATTCTGGCTATTCTACGAGGTGGCGGCTGGTCCGCAGGGCTGCGGATGTGGTCGTTTTAATACGGCGATCGATCGGTTGGCCCTTCCGCGGGCTAAACGACAGTGCGATTTTTGTTATTCAATTAGGAAGTTGTTTCTCCGTTTCGAAAGAAACTCCAGATAAAACGTCTGACTGTAATACTAAAAGGTTTTCTCTACGCGTTCATGTGCTTTTCGTGCTTCCAGCGAAGTAATACTTGAACTGCGCGGCTGATGTAAAGCATAATTTTATTTTGGATTTGAGAGCGTTATGAAAGGGTGTCATGAAAACCGGCCACATATGGCGCTAGCCAGAGATCTAACCTTTTGTACGATCAGTAACACTTTTATGAAAAGTGCTTGTCCAGCGGTCGAATATTGATTTGTCGCTGTTTAGCGGAGGCCCGTGTCAGGATATGAATTGCTATCACATTGAAGCGTTGGTTTTGTCGATCGATTTATGTTTTCCGTTTCATACCCAATAATGTGGAGTACTGTGCAAAAACATTTGCGACAGCCGAGATTCGAACCCAGATTCACATCTCACTCTTTCCGTTTCAAATAAAATGAAGCTCTCGGCGCTGATGAATTTCCGAGGGATGCACCACGCATTCGACTTAGCAAGCGTCGTCAGAGGTCATTTAATGCATATCTGGCCTCTACGGTGACTCACTGTTAACTATGAATAGATCAAATCACTAGTGTTATTCTCCCAGACCAGTCTGGTCCCAGTTCGTCGACCGCCGAGAGATGGAATCTCTGTGGGCCTTAAGCGCGGTGTCGAACTATCAGCCATGTGCACGTCGTAGGGCACCTCTTGTTACAACGCTAAAAGCACCCTTTTTGCAATTTCTGTTTTTTATAATGTTCGTTTCGAGTGTGTTCGAGTGGAAACGCTCGAAACGAGCGTTATGATATTTCAGAAATACCAGGCAAGAATAATCAAGTGTGCAACACTGTCGATCTAGTGATTCGTTTCACTTGCCGGCGCGCGTTAAATCGTTCGCCGTCGCCTACTTCCTTACAGGGGATGTAGGGATCCCCGAGAGGATTGGTTGAAGACGAAGGGCCTGCCCAACTGACGAGGCTGCCAAGGACGAAACACGTGTATCGGGCTGTACAAATGCCCAAAAAAGACCACATGACATGTTGGCTCAAAGAATAATGATAATAATAAGATATCTGTGTTTTTCTCTACTTTACATCCGAGTGGAAGAGAATCTCATCAGACCACCACAATCACTTTGAAAATGAATTCATTTTGAGTAGGTGGTGGTCGTAGGCAGTTTTTTTTCTCTAAATTTAAGCCATTTTTCTGTCGTAGAACGTTGTCCAGTAACAATAACTTGACGATGGCTTCGTTATTCAACTCATTTTATTGAGCCTCTCTTAGAATTTCATCCTTCGTGTGGTGCTTAACGTTTATTACTGTTTCCAAGGGGAAATTCATTAATAAGATTGCGAAG